TTGCTGTTTTGTCTAATAACTGATTTCTTTTTTTTGTAATTAAATTTTTACTTATTAAAAAAACTTGTTCTATAGATACACTTGTTAAAAACATTATCAAATAGTCATGTATAATATATAATAGATATAAAAATTGCTATTTATTTATTTTTTATTATTTTAAAATATCTGTTTTTGCTAATAGAGTAATAAAAAATATAAATATAATTTGTTTTGTTTTTTTATATGCCAATGTTTAAATAATCTTGCTTTAACTGTATTATATATTTCTTTTATATTAATTGTTTTTATAGATCTTGGATTTAATTTACTATTAGGATTTTAAACTGAGTACTAAAATAGTATCAATTTGATATCAACTTATAATAATTTTAATATATGGATTGTAATTCATTATATTAAACTTATAGTAAATTCAATACTGACTTAATATCAAAATAGTATCATTAAAAATCTTATTTATTATATTTTTGAAAAATATTATTGATACTATAAAATTGAAAAAATATTTATTATAAAAAACTATATTATAAATAAAAATAATAATAAATATTTGTTTTTTTTTTATCTTTTTTATCAATTCTTTTTTCTAATTATTATCTATAAAATATTATATTTTAAATTTTGAATTTAAAATAACTATTAATATATAAATTGAATTTGTCTTATTATAATATTTTAAATTCTTTTTACAATATGTTTTAATTACTTCTTTTATATTTATATTAATATTTTTTTTGCTACTAGTATCTTCCAAATAATCAATTAAAATATTATATAATAGAACTGTTATAGATAGTATTGGATATATTAATATAAATATTATTATAGTTGTTTTTTGAAAAAATTTAAAAAATTTTATAATTTGTTCAAATATATTCCAGTTGTTATCTATAAATATATAATTTTTTAATTTTTAATTTGATATTGTTAGATATTTAATTGCTTAAAAATATAAATTATTTAAAATTATATTAAATAAATATTAAATAATAATATATAAACTTATTGGTTTCAGTTATATAGCATATATAATTATATTATATGTTAAATTTCATTATATTTTAATATCTAAAATCAGTTTTAAAGTTTTATTTATTATATTTTACAAGTATTATTTAATTTTCTATTTATTGAATTGATAATTATATTTTTATAACAAGTTTTTATAACTATATAAAAATAAATTAGTAAATATAAAAAACAATATAAATATCATATAAACTTACTTGTTTTAAATTTTCTTTTAGTATATTTAAAGCATATTGTATATTTGTATTAATAATATATACAAAATCTTACAAATAGTTTTTTGTTGTATTAAAAGAAATTGCTTAAGTTTTATCTTACTCTTTTATTGATTTAGCAAATGCTATATTGTTTGTTACATTATTGGTCATAACTTCTAATAACTTTAAAATTAAATAACAGTATTAGTTATATATAATATTTATTTTAATTTATATCATAAATTTGGTTAAACATAATAAAAAATACTTCTTTAATATTTTCACCTGAATTAATACTTTACAATTGTATAAAATCTATTGTTATATTTTGTATTTTTAATAAAATACAGAAAAAAAAATAAAATAAAAATTTTTAATTAAAAATTTTTTTTTAAAATATATACTTAAAATAAATATATATTTAGAAAAAAATTTTATTAAAATTTTATATATTTAAATTAAACTTTAATTATAATTTAAAGAAAAATTCATATTTGAAAAAATTATATATACAGTATATATAATTATAATTTTTAATTATATAATTGTTTTTTAAATAAATAGTATAAAAATTTATATAAAAATAAGTTGATTTTATTTATTTATAGAAAATTATATTTATTTATTTAATAATATTTAAATTTTTTATAAAAATTAAATAAATTAAATAATTTTTAAATAAGATTTAAACAGTAATTTAAAAAAATAATTTTATCAATAATATAAATAAACATATGAAACTATTTTTTCAAATAAATATTCTAACTAAACTTGTTTGTAAAATATTAAAATTATATAAATTAATTTTCAAATTTTTATTATTAAATACATACAATTGATTTCTAGATATTATCGCCAATAATTATTATTCATAATATACAATACTTGTATTTTAAAAAACTTCTTTTGAATTGCGCACTAATTAGATTCGACCTTTCCTTGTAAGGAAAAATCGGCCATTGCCATACACAGATATTCGTACTTTGAAAATCGCTCCAATCTTATGTACATATATAGCATTTATTTATGTTCTTTCTTCTTTGTTCTTAAAAGATTAGATTTTTCCAAATAAACAAATAACTAGTTTCTTAAAAGTGTGACAACTCTTTTCAATGTTCATTGGTCATTAATTCCAAATGTTTATTTTTTACACAATTCCCCTAAGTAGTTTGATGAAGAGTGTCCGTTCCCGTTCATCACCGTACCAGCGACATCTGCATATAGCGTGATAAACATTGACGATTGATATCCAACGCCGAGAGTCACATTCTATTTGCATAGTCAATTTTATGAAAAAGAATTTGAGAGGGAAGTAACGCCGACTGAGAAAAAAAAAAAAAGAAATTAACGGAAATCACTCATAAATACATTCATAAATGAAAAGTGACGTAATATCATCTAAAATCATACCAAATGGAGGAGTTCCAGAAAAGGATGTTGATTAACATAATCTATTGACGTAAAAGAGAAACTCAGCCAAAAATTGTAAATTCCTCTATTATTACATTAGTTCACAATCAGGAATTCTGATAATTTTGATTTAACCCTTTATAAGCACCCTTTTGCTTGATGAATTTACATAAACAATCCCTTTGCTCCTAGACTTTTCTTTGTTTTCAATTTTTCGTTTTTTTTTCTTTTCTTTTGGTCCTCTCTTATTGAAAGCGAAATATTTGAAAACAAAAGGTGCCAAGGGGGAGGACACTCAATTGATTTCATTACACATAACATCCTCATCAATACAAAACTTTTTCCACGAAAGCAAATCTAACGATACCATATGAGAAAATACTTCGCCCTTCAACAGTAAAAATTCAAAGTTATCTACATTGAAAGGCCTGGGTTTTTCCTTTTAAAATAATCGAGAGATTTTATCAGACACAGAAAACAAAATGGGATCACGAAGAAATAATTCTGAATCCGAAAAATTCTGGTTTTGCATCGGGTTAGGCCCAAGTACAATTATCGCGTCTCTTTTATGGCTGGTAATTATTCCGCTCAGATTTTCAATCATGTGATATTATTTGAATAACCGTTTTTTTGACCAGGTGGAAGGTTGTTTGATGGTGGGCTTGATGTTGATGGCATTTTTCTCTAATAATACGAGCAGTAAGTTATCAACATCAAGACTTTTGGATCAATCAATCAAGCTGATCTAATCATGTAATTACTTATGTAGTTTTTGGAGTATCAAGGTTTACACCGTTCGTCTTGCTTTTGTATTTCATATTCCTTACGGCTCTCAGCATATTTGGTCTTATCTCGTTATTAATATACGTATGCATTA